TTTGATCTTAGGGGTCAGAAGTTCTCACGATAGCATTGGCATCACAGGCCAGACCCGGCATTATTCTCTGCAAGGGACAAGACCCAGTGTTAATGTCTGCAAGGAGCCGCTTGGCTACTGGGCTGAGCTTCCTTGCAGGGCCTGGAAGATGACCAAGAAGCGCAGAGCAGAACGCCCACCAGCCACTGCTGGGAGGGCCCCAGGGAGCAGGTGCACAGCAGAGCGCCACCTCAGCCACTCCCTGGGCTCGAAGAGGCTCCCTCGGTGTCGATGGCAGCTGTTAACAAGTAGTGGTGGTGCTGTTGAGGCACAGTAGAGGCAGGAAGGGAGGATGGCGGACAGGCGGGTGCTGTGGGCCCGAGCAGGCGGCCTAGAGGCAGGAAGGAAGGATGGCGGACAGGCGGGTGCTGTGGGCCTGAGCAGGCGGCCTAGAGGCAGGAAGGAAGGATGGCGGACAGGCGGGTGCTGTGGGCCCGAGCAGGCGGCCTAGAGGCAGGAAGGAAGGATGGCGGACAGGCGGGTGCTGTGGGCCCGAGCAGGCGGCCTAGAGGCAGGAAGGAAGGATGGCGGACAGGCGGGTGCTGTGGGCCCGAGCAGGCGGCCTAGGCGCAGGAGAAGGGTGTGCCCGAGAGAGGATGATTATCCCAAATGCCGGGAGTGGACGAGGCCGATGAGTGGCTGTGAGGTAGGGGTGTGAGGTGGTTGCCTGGCTTGCTCTGCCAACCCCAGAAACCCGGCAGCCTGGGCCTGGCACCCAGATGCACATGGAGTGAGCTCCCGCATGACATGTCCCCATCATGGGGCTACTTGTGTCTCCCAGCCTTGGGAACAAGCTGGCACAGAACACTGTGGCTGCATTCACAGTTCAGGCCCTTCTTCTTTGGGTTTCATGGAGAAACAGACTTAAAAAGCACGTGTTCCTAATGGGTAGGCCGCAGTCTGGGAGGAGCGTTCACTTCTCTCTAGAGTGTGGCTTTGCCTGTTCCTGAGCACCCTGCCACCCTGTTGCTGACCAGGGTGGCTGAGGTCCTCTGCTCTAGCAGGGTTGACTGTCCCTCTGCAGCCAACACCAGGTGCCGGCCCGTGCCTCTACTGGTCAAAAAGCGCTGGCCCTCGGGGGCTTCCTGGTTCTCCCTGGACCCTGGTTCTGTCCCTCTCCAGCACTTGCCCCCGCCCCGGCATGCATTCCATAGTTCATTTTCTAGGCATGGGGCACGTTGTTAAAATACAGCGTGGCTTTTTTCTTTTAAACAAAGGCAGCTACACTTTGCCTTGTCTGTTTAAGGCTAAGCCAGCAACCTTCTTGGCACTCGGGAACGATCGCTTCCTGAGTTTCTGCTTATCGACTGCCTCGCCTGACACATGGCCTGGGCACCAGAGAAGCTAAAACAGGTGCCCAAGCTGAGTCCCTTTGCCCTCTAACCTCCTCCCTCTGCCTCATTTGGAATTGGGGTTCTGGGCCTGGGCCTGGGCCAGAGGGCAGACCCTGGCCCAGGCAAGGCTAAAGGCTCTGTGGAAGGGCAGTGTCCTGATGTCGTCGGGCGTGCTGTGCGAGGCACTGTCAGCCAGCTGAAGGGAGAAGCGGTCACAGCACCTGTAGCTATGGAAGGTGATGTCCAAACATCTAATAGGAACCTTGATGCCAAGTCTCCAAGACCAAAGGCAAGAAGAGTCGGACCAGACTTAGGATCCAAGAAACCGAGCATGAGCTCGACTCACTGCACGTGAGGGTGGAATCGCACCATCCCATGAAGACGCTGGGGGAGAGGTCTTGGATGTGCCGCCCTGATACAGCCCAGGAGCGCCAGCAGCTTGGGGGCCGCCATAGGCCCCAAGGGCTCTTCACTCCCATGGGTCCAGCTGGCGATGAAACTTCCCAGGGAAGTAGTGAAGGACAGCCGAGGTCCTTAACTGAAAAAGCGTGACAAACGGGAACACTGGGCTTTTCCCTCGGGCTCTCCCTTAGGTCTGCAGTGCTCTGGGTGACTGGCGACTCAGTGAGGCGGGTGGCCGTGTGGTTCTTGAAAAGAGCAAGTGTGGTTAGGGCCTGGATTGTGGACGCCCTGTGGACCGCTGACCCATGGCCTGGCTTGGGGCCTCACAGGGAGTGAGTTGAGTGCACGCAGGGGAGGGCCCACTGTTCAACAGTGTGTATCCTCACGGCCGTGCTGGAATGCCACAGGAGGAGAGTCCCTGTCTGTGCAGTGTGCTTGCACTGCAGAGGACGGGAAGTTGCACATTCCGTCTTCGCATCTACCCTGCTTTTCCACGTCACCTCCGTCCCCCTTGTCAGTGAGCTTGGCTCAGGCACTGCATGCCTGATCTGTGCCTCTGGGAATCCTGTGACCTGATGGTCCTAGATCCGAAAGCATGGGTAATGTCTCAGGTGCTCGTGCACTCCTGAGCTTCAGAAGGCACTGGTCCACCCACGGTGCAGAGACTGGGAAGTAGAACTGGCCAGCCATGGGCATACACAGGGTCACCAGAGGCCCTGGGGCAGAGGGTCTTCTTCTCCAGCTCTTCCAGGACAGGGCTGGCTCCCGATCTGCTCCTGGGCCAGAGGTGGACCTGTCTGCAGGGTGGCAAGGACAGGGAGACACCAGCCTGGCCCATGGCAGTCCCCACCCCCACACCCGAGACCACGCTGCTGTCTCGAGGCGATGCTACTTCTTTCTCCTGGCCTCTGGGTTGTACAGGTAAAGCTTGGAAGAAGCTGTAGGGGAGGAAAATGGCTCTCAGCAGGCCACTGTGGGGTGAATGAAAACTTGTTAGGTTTTCCATGCAGCAGCAGCCAGCCTGGCACACACTGCCATGCCCAGCTGTGTGGAGGGAAGCACACAGCCCTGCGCCCGTGTGGAAGGACTGCGCACCCGTCAAGGCAGTCCAAGGCTCCGGACAGGTGGGAAAGCAGCCTTCTGAATCACCCCGTTTGGAAACGAATTACAGATTGGATTCTCTGACCAGGTGCATTTGAGCCTGGTTGACTCTTCCTGTAATTCATGGAGAAGTGGCTCTCGCCTCCGCCTTTGCTGCTGGAAGGCAAGGGGCCAGGCCTTGGCTTCGTTTTCTAGGTTGTATAGGGCAGCGGATGACGGCCCCTAGGCCTGGATCCACGGCTTCACTTGGAGACCCCTGCTTCGGTGCGCGTCTCGTGAACGTGTGTTCTGCTCACAGGTACCTTTGTGTGTAGTGCGGTTACTGGAACATACTAAAGCAGCCTGTGATCTTTGCAAAGAGTGCAGACAATTACAAAACACATCTCCCAGCAGGGGTGACTCTCAGAGCTGCAAAGAGCAGGAATCTTTATTTGGTTCACTTTAGGTCTGCAGCAACCAGTTGGTATTAAAAAAATCGGAAAAGTCAGATGTACAAAAAGAAGTCACATCCCTTTAGAAAGCAACATGATCAGAACGGTGTGACCTCCGCTCTCCCTCCCTCTCTGTGCCCCCAGACCAGACTGCCAGAAGGAATGGGGAGTGATGTAACGGAAAACAGTAAAACTGAACTTAACTGGAACATGCTCTCATCTTTAGTTTATTTCTGGTTAAAAATATAGCAATCCAGTGCAGTGTAGTAAAGAGGTCTGCTCGAAAGGCGGCAGAGAAACAGCTCAACAGAAGCAAAGCAAGGCAGAGTCCAGAAGGCGGGCTGTGGCCCCAAGACGGCCGGACGGGGAGCCCCTGCAGCGCCTCCCCAGGCACAGGGCCCCATGTGTGGCCGTGCCCGGACCCCTCAGGCACATCCATGCACATGAGAGCCAAGGCCATAGGGCACTCGGACATCCTGGCAAACCTTGTTCCTTTGTGTGGGTGATGGAGTGACCCTGGTGGGGAAGGCAGAAACATAAGGAACCTGCTTTGGACCGAAACAAGTTATATTGTACATTTTTGGGGAGGTGTTGGATATGCTACAGTTTCTCAGGAAGTCTCAAGCCACTGCGTGGAACCACATTCCTGTCCTGGGACCAGGCCCGCTCTGGTGTAGCACTGAGGCATCTGGAAGGAATATGCATATCTGTTGGGGAAGTTGAGGCAGGCACAGTACAAAGATGTGAAAACCCGTGGAGGTCAGTAACCGTGGGAGAAGGCGTCCTGGAGGGCCCTCACTGCTGGGGACACGGAAGCCCATGCGTCCACCCTGCACGCCAAGTGCGCACAGCCAGAACCCTGGCATGAGGCCGACTCCAGGGCACAGCCCCTTGGCTTCCGGTATCGCAGTGGGCCTGGCTTCCCTGGGGTCTGGTGGGGGAATGGCCGAATGGGGCCCACAGCGAATGGGCAGCAGAAGAAAAGGGCTTTGCTTTAAAACTCGGTGTGGGGAGTCGGCTTCTCATGGAAGGCCGGGGGCAGTGCCGAGAAGAGGGAAGGGCCTGCATCCGTGTCTCGGGGAGGAGGCAGCCGGTCCCTCCCCCTCCTCGTGGTGCAGCACAGATCTCAGAGAAAGGCCAGGCCACTGCCCACAGCGGTGGGCCACCCTGCCCCACACCTCCCACCCGTACTTGTCACCCATCTGTTCTAGACAGAGGAAGCAGCGAATCCACACACTCGTCGACGGGAGCCAGCTGCTCAGGGGGCTGCCCTCCATCCACACCCAGCTTGGGTGTGGATGTGACCACGAGGATGACGTCCTTAGTTACCACAGATGTGCTGGGATCCTTCTCTTTCCACATGGAGCAGGAGGGGCTGCGTGCTGGCCTGCTCCTGCCGTGCCACACAGCAGAGTGTTATACAAGCAAAGAATTTTGGCTAAAATCCAAAAGACATTACCCAGAAAAAAAGGCAAACTGTGAGTGATACCCAGTCATGTGGTTCTTCTGTGAGAGGACTTGGAAGTCGCTGGGCTGTCCGAGTTGCGGTCTTTCCCTGCTTGTGGTTTTGCTTTTGATGTCCCCTTTTCCTATGTCTGCTACCGTGACAATCTCCTCAGATGAAAAAGTTAATAAACAGAATGGCGACTCCGATGTTGAGTAAGATCACCATGACCACCAGGATGGGAGCTGAGCCCTAGAAGAGAGCGAGGGGAAGAGGTGAGTGATACCTGCGGGGACCTCTGCCGGGACCACCACACCTCCCCCCACTTCTCTTCACCAAACTAGCAGCCCCAGGAGGGGAAAGCCTAAGTGATGGTTGGACCCCAGAGGTCCGCCAGACCCAAGCCCCTCAATCCAGACTGGGAAGAGAAGCCCCTCCTGCCTGTAAGCCTGAGGTTGCTGGTCTTGGAATTCCCTGGTAGCCCTGAGACCTGAGCACCAGCTCTTCCCGGGCGGGGCCCCCTTAGAGAGAACCACCCAGGCCTGCCTGTAAGCCAGCATCTCGGTGCTGGCTGCATTTGTGCCAGTCAGCAGGTTTCTCCTGCTCTGTGGAAGTGAGACCTCGGGCATTGTGATCAGAATCTCAGAAGTGCCCTCACAGCTGCCACAGCCAGTGTCACGTGTGTCCCAGCAGAGTGGCCCTGGAGTTCAGAGGTCTCCGACAGGCCCGTAAGGACACCTTCCTCACCTCCCCTCCTGTCAACTGGCTCTGGACGCCCGTGTCCAATTGCAAGCTGCCTCTGACTTGGACCACGGTCCCGCAGTGCTTTTGCTCACGAGTCCTCAGCCTCTGCAAGAGCCCCAAGCGCCAGGCTACCCCTTTGGCAGCATAGCCTGGGCATTCAGCCTGAGCTGCCAGCTGCCGTGTGCTTGCCGGGGCCAGGTAAGACACGCAGCTCCCACCGGAGCCTGTTCCTAGGGTGCCCTTCTGCAGGGATTCTTGCAGCCTACTCTACTGTGCTGCTCACACGAGGCAGGGGTGAAGGACAGCAGGGCCCCTTGGGGATGGAGGTTGGGAAAGCCTGCTGGAAGCTCCTGTCCCCTGGAAGGGCAGGCATGGGGGGCCACCCTGCAGATACAGGGAACAGCACCTCCTAGAAGGTGGCCCCTGCCCAGGAATGGTGGGGGGCACCCCCTTTAGCCTTGCCCAGGGTCTGCTTCCAGAGGACACTTGTGCTGCCCCCGCCGCCCCATCACCAAGCTCTGCCTCTCACAGCATCCTGGAAGGAGCTGTGTGGGCACCTGCATGAGGTAGGAGGCTGCTCAGAGCTCGCTTCTACCCAACACACTGAGCCCCCCACTTCCTAGCACAGAGAGGTCCAGTTGTTGTACGCCACAGACAGACCAGGTCTCCTGAAGGTCGCGGGACGCACATTCCACAGCGCTTGCTGCTCTCCCTGCTCCCCGTTACCAGAGTGGTTTTTGACAGACTCCTTTAAGCCCCCAAGTCTGGCCCTGATGGGTTGGCTGTTGCAGACTGAGTAGAGCCTGTGGCCTCAGGCAAGGCCTGTTCCAGCCTGCAGCAAGGAGCCAGTGAGGGGAGCCTGAACAGTCCCCCTTCCCCCCCACCCCACAGCAGGAAGCACCTGCTGTCCTGGGAGCCCCCAGCTGATGGCTTCTAAGAGTGGGAGAGTTAATCAGACTGCCTGTGACCCAGCAGTTCACGCCCAGGCATAGATCTAAGCGGGCAAACTCAAGACTCACTCAAAACCTTCCACATGCCCACAGCAGTGGGGTCCAGAACAGCCCCGAAGTGGAAGCAAAGCCAGCTGTCTGTCGGCGGATGAACACAGAGGCAGCACACCACGGTCTAGGCAACCGCAGATGCGACTCAGCCAGAGGAAGGGGGCAGGAGTGATGCATGCTGCGAGGGAAGCCAGGCACCAGGACCCACCAGGCCGAAAGCAGAGCAGGGGCTGCCAGGAGCGGAGGAGGGGACAGGGTGACTGCGCTCTGAGGTTTCAGGTGATGGAACTGATTTAGATAGCAGAATACACTACAACCACTGACTTGCACATGCTCTGGGCAGGTGGACTGAATAGTCCATGAATTCTCTCAGTGAAGCTACCCAGAAACAGCAGATACCCACACTGAGGTCAGCTCTCCATGGCCACACCGTCAGAGCAGTGCCTGACACTGGCTTCAGGGGAGGGATGGGTCCCAGTGGGAGAAATCTCTCCTGGGAAATCAGCCTGTGGTTCGAAGCTTGGATGCCATGTCCCATGGGCAAGAAGCAGCCTCCTGCTCTACCATTTGGCCAAAGGACCCTTTTGCCTCCTGGGTCTGCCATTTGCTCAGGGGAGACAATGCAGAGGTGTGCCCCATAAGCGTCCTCAGAGGACGAGGTCCTGCCCAGGGGGTACAGCAGCCACAGTAGTACCAGGCTCACCCCCTCCACAACCTCCCAGCCCAGCAGGTGCCTGAGGTACAGATGGAAGTGGAGGTGTGGTAGCAGCAAGGGCCTCCACTCAGCCAGAGAAAGCATCCTGTGCATGGGCCGTGCCCCTCATGACGCAGTGTCGCAGCTGACGACAGCCCTGAGCCCAGCACCCAGGCTCGTCTCCCCTGGGGGCCTGCTTGAGTAGGGGGCCTGAAACAGCCATGACCTTGCCCCTTCGCAGCCCCGGGGTGGACACCCTGCCTTGAGCAGGCTGCCACCCCTCTTCTGGTTCAGTCCTGCCCATACCTGGGTGCCCACCTCTCCTCCCTGTGGTCTCCAGGAGCTGCCCACCACATGCCTTGGGCTGCACTGCTCATTGTGGCCCTGTCTGTGGCCTGGCTAGGCTTTGGCCACTCCATGCATTGGCATGGTTTCCTCAGGAGGTCCATGCCAGCACACCGCTCAGCACGGTGGTGGTGATGATGGGTGTGAGTGCTTGTCTCTGTCTGGCTCTGGCTGGCGGTTTTGCATTTGGACTTCAGGACAAGCTGCCAGTGAGTATCTCTCATCATTACTGTGAAAGCAACCCGTCAGGACGTTATCCTCAGGCCTCCCATACCCTCCCCGCTGGGCTCCACACTGCACCTGGTAGGGACTCCCCGGCTGCCTGCCCTCCCCCTCTATAGTCTACATCGTGGCCATCATCACCCAGGCCCACGTGTCTCCTCTCACACTGGGAACTGGACCCTGCATGTCCTGGGGACACTGGCTTATTTTTTGACACAGTCTTCTGTTTCCCAGGCTGGAGTGCAATGGCACCATCTCAGCTTGCTGCAACCTCCGCCTCCCAGGTTCAAGAGATTCTCGTGCCCCAGCCTCCTGAGTAGCTTGGATTACAGGTGCGTGCCACCACACCCAGCTAATTTTTTAGTAGAGACGGGGTTTCACCATGCTGGCCAGGCTGGTCTCGAACTCACCACAACCTTAGATGATCTGCCTGCCTTGGCCTCCCAAAGTGTTGGGATTACATGCTTAAGACACTGTTCTCAGCCAAGAAACTTAAAAAAAAGTTTGCTCAACCAACAAGCTGAGCTACAGACAGTGACTGCCCCAACACCTGTCCCCTGATAGGGACGCTTGCTGGCACAGGTCCCTCCTTCTTCCCAGACAGAGCCTGGGATAGTGCTTAGCAGTGACCGTGCCTCTCCACCCCATCTCCCTTAGACCTGGCAGAAGACACAGCCCCCAAGGTGTGAGAGGAGAGAGGGGCGAAGGGAAACCTTTCTGCACCAGGGCGGCCACCTCCAAGGAGCTCAGCTGGAACACGATGCTACAGCTGATGGGACCCCCAAGTAAGCCCCAGCTGGAGAATGGGCAGGACACTCGGCATGCAGCACCCTGGCTGTCCCATAGCTAACTTACACCCCCGAGGCCAGCGTGGCACTTGTCCCCAGCTCACGCATTGACCCCAGGGAGGTTCATTTAAAAGCACCCGCAAGTGCCAGTGCATTAAGCAGGCTAAAAATAGAACCTGTCCCTACACCTCCCACCCTGCCCATCACTTGGCTGTTCCTAAAATAACCATGTGCACAAGTCTCTAGCTGCGGTGGGGAAAATCAAGTTGCAAGTGTGAGTTGGTATTTTGGTCCCAGCAGGAGCACAGGGGGCTGTTCTCTGTGGACATTTGGAGGAGGGGAGGCATGTTAGGAACCGGTCAGCAAGACAGACATGGAGAGTGGTTTCCAGGAGAGGCAGAAATGGACCTTTCAATAGGTCGACCCCTACCTGTGCCCCCTCCCCGACCATCCTATGCAGACAGCTCCCGATGTCCTCACACCCAGGGGCCAGACAGCTGCCTGTGGCACTTGTGTTCAGCACCCAGAACCAAGGCACCAAGCACTGCCTGGGCTGCACGGGCAGGTGGAGCCCTGGTGGGTGAGGGCCTGGCCATGCGCTGACCCTACATAGCCACCATATGTAGCTGCAGAATGGGATTCCTAGGGTGAGGGTCCCTTCAAGGGGATCCCCAGCCCCACACACCAAGTCTAGCCCAAGGGGCTGCTGTTCTTCCCTCCAAGCCCCCTGCCCTGGAGGACTGAATGGGTGGTGGGCGAGGCTCAGGGAATCAAACACACAGGGCACCTCACGTAGGAGCTGGCTCCAAGCCCAATGCCACAGGTGAGATAAAACGTGACTGGCAGTTTCCCCCATCCCCAGCTGTTTCTAAGCCTCTGAGTTCCTGTCCAGGACACAGAACACTCAAGGCCCAAGGCTACTGCCCAGGGGCCAGACTCTCCTGAGCAGCTGGAGCTGAGGAAGTTGCGGGGAGCGCAGGGGTCTCACGCTGTCTGGAAGTCAGGAGGTTCATGTGCTTTCTAGAGAACAGCCTGGGGCAGTCCCCTCAAGGAGAGGGGGTGACACCTGCACCTACATGGCTTGCCTAGGGGGAGGGTGCCAGCCTCACAGGTAAACCAACCTCAGGGCCACCCCTCCCAGCTGTACGCCCACCCCGCCCCACCTCTGCAGAAGAACAGAGGAGCAGCGCCCTTGCTGGAAACGCCAGATCAGTGGAGCGGTTGTTGCCTCCCCTGGGGTCAGCCTGGTGGCGGTCCACTCACCGTACTGGACTTGAGCTCATCCCCGTTCTCCTCGTCAGACTCGAGCGCGACAGGCAAGGATTTCTGGGGCGGGGAGAAGGTCAGGTCCCAGCGCAGCAGCCGAGGCTCGGCCCCACTGCCCAGCCGCAGGCTCGCCAGTTTCTGCACCGCGGGTTCTGCGGAGGAGGCCGGCCTGAAGTTCTCCTTGTTCTGGGCCTTGGACCGCAGTCTCTGCACCCCAAAGCCCCGGTCATCAGGGCGGTGGTCGTCCCCTGAGCCCCGGCAGGCCCCGCCCTTGCTGTAGCGTCTTTTCTGGGGGTGTGCCTCCTGCGCCTCCATCCTCAGCAGGGGCTTCATCTCCATCCTGTAGTTGCTCAGCTTCTCCTCCTGCAGCTCCAGCAGCCTGGCGCCCCCAGGGCTGTGGTTGCTGGCCCGGTGGTGGGAAGTCCACGCGAATACGGGGGGCGACTCCGTCCGCCGCTCCCGCGGCTTGGGGTTCCCAGGCTGCTTGCGGCCCAAGCCTCGGGCACGGAGGTCGTCCACACGCAGGGCACTGCTTCGGATGCCCCTGGAGCCCCCGGCCTGCTCCTCGCCCCAGCTGCTTCGGGCGCAGTCCCGGCCCTCCAGGAGCATCTGGATGTCCCCACCCCGCTCCTCGTCCACTGACACCTGCCGTGAGAAGTGGGCGACCTTGTTCCTGGTGGCAGGTGCGGGCGGCGGGGTGGCTGCAGGGCTGGCAGGGAAGCTCTGCAGGGGGCTGTCATCGGGGGTCAGGTCAGAGGGGGTGGTGCCTTTGCGGTACAGCTCGGGGCTCTCCTGCTGCAGGGGCGTCCCGGTCGACAGCACCTCAATGTCGTCGCAGGAGGTCTGACGCTTCGGCCTCTGGTACTCCAGCCCTGTTGGGGGACAAGACAACAGTGGGCGGGGTCACCCTGCATGTTCAGCAAGGCTGCGTCGCCTGTGAGGATGAGGTTTCCCCTTGCCAGGGCACCAGGTAGAACCTTGGGGCAGCAAATGCTTCCCACTCATTGAAACACTACAGGGAAGTAGGGGGGACTGGGGACCGTGGCTCCCAAAGCCCTTTGGGGTCTCCCCACCCCACAGACACTTAGAGGAAGACAGGCTGGCCCCAGACCACAAGAGGAGGAGCAGGCAGCAGCTCCCAGACTACAAGGGAGACTTATGGCGTGGAAATCGCCCAAGGACAATGGGGTGTGAACTGGGGTCCCACCGACTCTGATTTGCCTGTCCTGAAGGTGAGAGGAAACCCCTTGCCCTAACTGACGACCTGCCTAGGGAGGCCGAGCTGTCAGCAAGGCCGCTGACACCGATACATGCCTGGAACTGTGTCTTAGGGTGCTGGAACAGCTGGTACCAGGGCCAGTGTGAGAGCCTAGGAGCCCAGTTCGCTCCCCCTGCACCCCACCCAGCTGTGTGAGGCTGCTGAGGCCTCGAGTCTTGGGGCTGGGCTCCCCTTCTCTACAGGGGATCAAGAAGCCCTGGTCTCCAAAGAGCCGCAGGGGGCTCTTGGGAACGGGAGGCTACCACAGGACCTAGGGGACAGCTCTGCAGCCAGCAGTGTCCCTGTTGTCTGCTAGTGGCTCAGTCCCTGGCAGCCCTGACCCTGCAGCCTGGACGGGGAGGGGCAGCATCATAGGACCAGCCCCGAGAACTCTCTGGAGCTCTGGGACTCCCCTACAGGAGGTGGGAACCAAGAACAATACTAGGTTCTCGTTTCCTGCCAAGACAGTGAAGCAGGAGCCACACTGGACTTCATTCTATTCAGAGAAACTTAAGAATGAGGTGTTTCTTACCCTTCAGGGAACAGTTACACGTTCATCTCAAGTAGGGTCCTAGAGTCAACGCAGATCAGCTGGACCCCCACCCCCACAGTGCCTGTGCCAAGCTGGTTGAGACTCACCGTTTTCCCGGTGCTGGAAGGAAGGGGAGAACTCTTTGGCAGTGATCCTGGCGATCCGCGCCTCCTCCTGGGCTTTCTGGGCTGCTGTGAGGGCTGCCTCGGCCTTTGCCCGAGAGTGGGAGGTCCTGGGGGAGCCAGGGAGGAATGTGAGGGGGGCAGGAAACACAGGTGACAGGGTGTGTGGTGGAGGTCCTACGCCAACCCGCCCCCCAACAACAGGCTTGGCTCAGACCTTGTTCATTCATTAAAATCACTGGGACATGCTTGAAAACATCTCTGGGCAGAGGGTGGTGCCTCATGCCTATAATCCTAGCACTTTGAGGGGCCAAGGCGGGACAATCCCTTGAGTTCAGTGGTTCACGACCAGCCTGGGCAACATGGTGAAAACCCATCTGTACCAAAATTACAAAATTAGCTGTGTGTGCTTCTGTAGTCCCAGCTACTTGGGAGACTGAGGCAGGAAGATTGGTTGAACCCAGGAGATTTAGGCTGCAGTGAGCCGAGAACACATCACTGCACTCCAGCCTGGGTAATAAGAGTGAGACTGTCTCGAAAAGATTTCTGATTTCATTATCAACAGCCACTGGCACATGCACAGAAAGTCCAAGCCTGGACGACACCCCCTCCCCCACTGCAGGGCAGACACGGTGACAGGCCGCTGTGTGTCTGGGCTTCCTGCTGTTGCCCCAGTGCCAGCTGGTGGGCACTTTCCTCACCCAGCTGAAGGATGATGCCGACACCCATGTGTGCCACGGAGGCACCAGTGTTCCCATCAGTGGCTGGGCACGCCGCCCCTCTGTCCTCTCCCTGGCCTCTGTAAACCAAGGGCCTAGATAGATGCCCCAAAGACAGACCATGGGGCTCTGTGCATCACAGTGGCCTGGGTGTTCTATTTCTTCCTACCAGGTGTGCTGGATCCAGGGAGACCTGCGGGTGGCCGTGGCAAACTGAGGCGCAATGCCAGTCCCCCTTCCGAGCAGACTCCCTGGGAGGCCTCCTGCTCACGGTTCCCAAGTTACTCAGTTCAGGCTGGAGCAAAGCACCACAGCTCCGGCAGCTCGTGAACAGCAGACATTACTTTTTCTCCCTGTTCTGTCTGCAGAAGATCCACTTTCTGAGTCCTGGACAGCACCTTCCTGCTGTGTCACACTGGGGCCTCATGGCCTCCCAGCACCATCGCCCTGGAGGTGAGGATTAACACACACCCGGCAGGGCACAGACACCTTCCACGAAGCCTGAGCCTTCCATCTCTGCCACACCTGTCACTCCACGTGCACGGGCCAACCCTGGGAAGCACACACTGCTGAGACGGCTTCCTCCTTTCAAAATTCCACTGCGCTAACCAGGAACAATTTTAATAGAAGAAAATACATCTATGATATTTACATACAGAGAGTAATAAAAACCACAGCCAAGAATGTGTGTCCAGGAAATGAGGCAAGCTGCTGAGAATGCCCCACACCAGGGTTCCAAGAGCCAGGGAGTGTACCCCGCATCTTGTGGGTGGTCTGCGCATCCCCTGAAACTGTACTCAAAAGTTTTCTGCACGATCTCCCCACATGTAGAGGGTCCATGGCTTTCCTCAGATTCCAGGAGGATTTGCGATGCCCGGAACACGGCTGGCCCTGGGCTCAGAAGCTGAGGTCAGCCACGCACCAGCTCCCAGGACTGCACACTCCCAGCTCCTGCCTGAGAATCGCCCAGGACTGGAAGGAAAGCAGGCTCCAAGCTCCCTGGAAGCCAAGGCAAGTAGGAAAATGCCTGCCCCAGGGCACTTTCCAGAATGATCCTGACTCGTGTGACGGGTGGTACTTTGTGAATGTCTCTCACATTCTGGGAAGCTCCTGGAGAAGACGGGGTCTTGCACCTCCCAGGCGGTTCAGACCTGGACCACAGAGCCCCCACCACACAGCACACAGCACCCAATGGGAAACTCACCAGAGGGGCCGCTATTTGGTTCCCACATCTGCTTAGTAAAACCACCACCACCATTAACTCACCACCATCATACGTGTATTTACATATATACGTTCAAAGACGCAGTGCCAGCAGTAAAATATAACAAACCCAGACAAGCGCATCTCCCAGAGAAGGAAGCTCCCAACACACTGCAGAGGCTCACTATAAATGACACCAGGCCTCGGGTGCCATTGACGCCTGCGGCTCCCACCTGTGGAGGGTTTCAGAGCTCACACGGGGCCCCCACACCTGCACCGTGCTCTGTAGCACCCCCATCTGCTTGCCCATGACCCTGCCTTTCTTGCAACCTGCCCCAGGGAACACATGGTGATGGTTCTGGCCATGCCTGGCCCTAGGCATGAGGCTCCCATGACCCGCTCCGTGACCCAGAGGCAGGCAGTGAGAAGAGGCCTGGTTCCTGGGCCACTGCTGACCGTGGGCTGGCCAGGCCAGACGCCGGGGCTCCTCCCACCTGGGAGCAGACTGCAGGATTTACCCGGCCACCTCTGCTGCAGACGGTACAGGGGACAGAGCCACAGCTGTACATGGAGGAGTGGGTGGGGCCTGCAGTGACCCCCGAATTCCACCCTCAGCACCTGCAGTGGATTAAATGGTGTCCCCCAAAATGTTCATTCCTCCTAGACCTGAGAATATGACTATCTGGAAATAGGGTATTTGCAGGATGAGATAAAACCCAGATGGCCTGACCCAGCCCTGGAGTGTCTGATTCCCCAGGTCTGCATGGGGCCTGGGAATCCGCATTTTAATCTCCCAGGTGAGGTAGTGGCCTCCACTGGTGCAGGGACCTCGCTTGGAGGACCACCCAAGGGGCAAACTCCAGAGTTCTCAACCCATACCTCGACCCCCCTTGCACCTGCTGCACGGCCACTCTGCTAGCAGCCCACTTCACAACCCCGCAGTTCCCCCCCCATGTCCACTCGCCCACTCCCCAGGGGAACTGGCCCAGCCGCAAGCTCACGGCACACAGCCCTCCTCCTCGACTCCTGCCCTGCCAGCACCGCACCCACTGCGCCCCAGCTCTCCCTGCCTGCTGGAAGAGGGGCCACAAGAACCCACAGCCCTCAACCCCACAGTGGGGGGCTAGCCCAGCCCAAGTCAAAACGGGGTTTTCCCCACCACTGATGGCTCCTTGTTCCCCTCACTCAGGGGCAGCTCCCTGGCTCAGGTCCACAGGAAGATGCGAGTCCCAGACCTCCATTTCAGGTCCTCACAGCCCCTGTGCTCCCAACTGCTACCTGTGCTGATGACCCAGGGGCCAGAGCAGGCCTGGGGCTTCTTGGACGCCTCCCATTCACCCTGCCTTTATCTGAAGCTGCTGAGTACGGACTGTGTTCATTGCTGCCCCAGAGGCCCTGGTGAGCACAGAAGCATGATGAGAAGATAGGGTGCAGTGGGGGCTGCAGGGAGCCAAGAGCTGACCAAGACATTTTCAAGGGAGGACTGTGCTGGGTGGACAAGGGGGCCAGGCGGGGCTTCTGTCCTAGAGAACCGCCCCCAGACTGGGGAGAGCTGGAGGAGCAGGTGAGCAGGGCAGCTGGCTGACCACTACTGCAGTCACAAGAGCTTCCTGGAAGAGAGGGCATCTAAGCTGAGCTGGCAGGGGAGCCAAGAGGTCAGGAGGCAGCTCCTGATGAGGCCTGGAGTGACTGCTCACCTCTCACTGGCCCTCACCCACTCCCCTTGAGCTAGAAAGCCTCTTTCCTGGGGTCAGGGGTCTTTCACACATCTCATGTGAGAGCTGGTACTGGGTGATGGCCCTTAGCTTTCCAGAGGGCCCATTCCACACATGTGACAGCCCTAAGACAGGCGCAGCAGTGAGCATCACTCCTCATGGGCAAATGAGGAAACAAAGGCATGAAGACTCCACCTCAGCCACACAGGTGGTTCCGAACCCCATGGGGATCTCACAGCTACAGAATGGTGGCTCTGGCCCTGCCCACTTCCCTGTCTCTGGGTTCCCAGGGGTCAGCTCGACGCAGCCTGGACCTTCCCTTCCAAGAACTGACCTGAGCCTCCAAGCTTGCCCCAGGGCTGGGGGCAGTATTTGCCCTGACAACCAGACTCCCTCTTCTTACCAAGCAATAGACGCTGGCTGGCCAGAGCCCAGAAGAGACTAAACACCCACCCCCGGATCACTGGAGCACCTGAAATCTCCGTGGGCCCTTCCTGATTCAGATGCAGCCAGATGGGTCCCAGGCGGGTTCTGGGCCACCCTCCGCTACAGGGATTCCAGATGCATCTCAGAAAGCCTGCGTCCCTGATAGATTCTTTCTCACCCTGACGACACAGGCAGTCACAGGTGACATTTCTCCTGGGGCCTGGTGAGAGGCAGATGCAGCCCGGTGCAGCATCAGGCCCCTCTTGCCTGGGTAGCAGGTGCCAGCCTGGTGAGACTCGCTCTGTCTGGGTGGTGAGGGCGTGAGTCTCCTGCAGCGGCTGCACATGACCACAGGTGAGAGGTTTCTCCTCACAGTTCTGGAGGTTCCACCAGTATCAGCAGGGCCGTGCTCCCTCCAGAGGCTCAGGGGAGGCTCCTTCCTGCCTCTCCCAGCTTCTAGGGGCTCTTGACGTGGCTTGTGGCCACCTCACGCCTGCCTCTGCCTGTCGCCATGCCGCCTCCTCCCTTGTGTCTGGGTCTCGCCTTTTCCCTTGTCAGAACACCCAGGTAATCCAAGATGGCCTCATCCCGCGCTCCTTAACTCAGTTCCATCTGAAGACCCACAGCAGCCTCTCCCCGCCCAGCCCTGCTATCCTCCCCTCTTCCAGGTTCATCTCCGGCAGGCAGCCATGCAGCAGGGAAGCATGGATCTGGAGAGCAGACTCTGGGAGGTCAGGAGGACCCCAGCAGGGGTGAGTGGGTGCGGACAGCCCCTGGTGGCCATTTCTGTGGAGACTGGGCCTAGAGGAGGGTGCTCTGCTGAGTCCTGAAGAGTCCGAAGGGCCACCTAACTGGGAGGACCGTGGCCGTGGGAGACTCTGTGGAGGCCACTGCCTCATCCAAGAGACAACAGTCTAGGGTGTTTCAAGGTGAAATGTAAAAGCCAGGGGGCTTTCGGGCACCATTTCAGGAAACTCCAACCTCCTGCAGCCAGGGTCGGAGGGAGGCCAGGACCCAGAAGGCTGCACTCAGCAGGGCAGCATCCCGTGCCGAGGCCAGAGCCAGAAAGAACAGGACTGGAGACGCAGGGTAAAGGAACCTGGGCAGACAGAGCTGAGGGCCTGACCTTCCCTCCAGGTCCTGCAGAGGTGACCTTTGCCCTCTTGACAGAGACCAAGCAGCCCTTCCTGCTGGAAGACCCCTACGGTGACCTCTAACATGAGACTTGCCTCCCAGGATCTCCCTGGCTCCCCTCATGGGACCAAACCAACCACAAGGGCAGGTCCCCACACTCTCCAGGGAGGTGCTGGGCTGACTCTGGTTGGGCTCCCAGCAGGATTTGGCCAACAGGGTCCGGGAGGGAGCTCAGGATCCATCCCCAGGCTGCCAGATCCAGGGACAAGAAACCGGGAGAGGGTCAACATGAACGCTCTCCTAAGACTGGACTTTAACACCTGGGCCAGAACTCCGAGGGTCGTGGACACCTATGGTCTGCCAGGGCGGCTCTCGGAAGCTTTGTGGGGGCAGGGGATCGGGGACGGCCGGAGTAGATGCTGTGGCCCCAGGGTGCACAGCTGGATCAAGGTCCTATATATGGCTGGCACCGCCGGGGGGCACAGGTGAAGGCACAGAACTGTCACAGGGATGCCTGTCTGTGGCACTTCCACTGCTGGGCCCTCCTCTGCTATTGAAGGTGGCGTGCCAAAGCTACACAGAACCTCAGGGTCGCCAGTACAGGACCTCTGGCCTGTGGGGTCCTCAATGCTCATGAAAGGCTGGTTTCATGGAACTGGCTGGCCATGAATGCCTCTGGCCCTTTCTGCTCCTGAGAAACTCTCTTTTCAGGCAGTCTGTCCTTTCCACCTAGCTCAGTCCCCTCTCCATGAGGACACCTCTCCCTCAAGCCTCCGGGTGCCCCGAATTGAGGCGGGCTGCTGCAAGCTCCCGAAGCCCAGTGTGCCCCAGTGCACACACTCTGCGGGTCTCCTGGCTGTGAACAGCGGCCTCGGGGGAGCCCGAATCCTCAGGGCGGAGCCCATCACTGCACTTCCCTTGGAGAGAAGCTGGCGGAAAACAGCCAGAGCTCAGAAAGAAGCAAATGCAGCCCGATTCCACTTTGTGCAAACGCCTGCCCTCAGGCAGCTGCTGGTGCCCTCACCCTCTTAATGCATTATTAACGCCTGCAGCCCAGACTAACGTGTCTCAATAATTATCAGTACACGGGATGTGGTGGATCAGAACTCAGCCTCCGCGTCCCAGAAGAGCCCTCATCCACCCGGTCCTCAGTGAGGAGGCTGACAGCAGACAGCTCAGCGTTTAGCTTTAGGGCATCACACTTACTGCTCTTCCTTGGGTGGGTACTGAGTGTCACATGGCTGCAGGAGACACCCCCACAGCCCCTCCGCAGAGCCCTGGTGGACAGCCTGGCTGTGCTCTGGCCCTCTGCATCCATTTGCAATGTGACCCACCTCCCAGCTCCGTGAGTGTGGGAAGTATAAAAGTTCCTCTTTCAGGTTTCCTTGTTAAAGAGTAAATCGTAAGTGTGCTGATAACTTCGTGAAGCCCCACCTTATATAGCTGTCGAACACGCCATGCTTAGCTCATAGTACGTTCCATGTCCTTGTACATTAACCAAGATATCTGTGCTGGACGTGCTCACAGGCATGCCCCAGCTCCCAGCCTGTGCCCCTTACCTGTTTAAATAAGTTTTCAGCTGTCAGCTGATCAGGTTTTAGTTTGGACTGTGAGGTCTGGCTCCAACCAGCAAAGATCAGACAGCAGTTAGGACAGCCTCACATGTGTAAGGGAGAAGTGTGTCTGTCTGCCTTTGCTCCTTGTACTGACGGCCTGATGGCCCGCAAGGGTCCCCTTTCTGCAGTCCAGGAAGCAAAACCTGCTTGCTGAGAGATCCTTCGTCTCAGAGCTGATTTTTCTTTGTGGCACTAGCATCTGTTTCCAACAAGGAGGAACATAAGACCCCCATTTTGCCGGTGAGAAAACTCAAGGCCAGACTTGAGCTACTTGCCTGGGGCCCTGGGGAAGTGGCATCAAGAGTCCAGACCACACTGGACAGGTGAGGGGCCACACCCACGTCTACATCCTCTACAAAGTCTGGCCTTGAGTTTTCTTGCACTGAGCCTCCAGCTCTTGGGGCAGAGGCCACCAGCATCTCCCAGAGAGGCCTTTTATGTAATGGACAGAGGGTCCGCAGGCACATGCCACTGTGCCAGGCTAATATTTGCATTTTTTTGTACAGAGGGGATCTCGCTATGTTGCCCAGGCTGGTCTCAATGAACCCTCCCACTTCAGCCTCCCAAAGTGCTGGGTTTATAAGTGTGAGCCACTGCATCCAACCTTACATTTTTAAAGGGAAGTGACATCATTGAGGAGAAACAGGCTCTACCCAGGGACCCTCTTGAGGCTTCTCAGGGGGGTCTCAGAAGGTCCTCCAGACTCAGACTCCCCCTCCCATTCCACACTCCCCCCACCTGCTTGTCTCCCCATACCCAGTGCAGGGGAGGCTGGCTGCATGGGAATGCAGAGGCCAGGCTGGAGACGGAGGAGCCGGTCACATTTGCAGACTGACAGAGACCACTGAGTGGGTAGCGCTAACGTGGCGGGTTGGGAGCCAGACCAGGGGAGCACGGGGGGAAGGTCGAATCCCCACACTGCCCATTTCACAGACAAGAGGAACAAGGCCATGGAAAGGAAAGGAGACACACAGTATTACACAGGGGGAAGGGGTGGGGTCAGCCTCTCCAACCCAGGGGTGCATGGTCCCCATGTGGCAAATCAGGCCAGCTGGACAGTCCACATTTTAAAGCGGGTTTTTCTTCTCACTGCAGAAAGGACTTTCATCTCTGCCAGGGAGCTGTGCACACATGACAGGCTGAACCATGTCCCCCAGAACAGACGGTGGCATCTGCCCCCAGTGCCCACAACTGGGACCTAGTTCAGGGACAGGGTCTCACAGAGGTGACCAAGCTAAGACGAGGCCATTAGGGCGGGCTCTTATCTAGTACGATGGGCGTCTGTATAAACGGGAGACAACTGTTGCATTTCACAGTGTTTGTGTTTTACAATAAAACACGCTACGTTGGAGAAAACTGAAAGGACAGTCAGGGTGGCTGCTCGGCTGCCCCGGAGCAGGGCTACCTTACACGTGGAGCTCGCAGACCATGGTCTGTTCCTGCCTTAGCTGCAATCTTCCGTGCCAGGCCAGAAGAAAGGCCCACCGAGACGGAGGAGAGGGCGGGGAACCCCTCTAGGAGGGCCCTGGGGCCATATCCCCTAAGCGGGCTTCCATGCTCAGAACCAGGAAACACGGCAGCTGGCCCAAAGGGTTATCTACGTCCCCAGTGAGGTGACACTGGGGACTGGGGTGGTCAGGATGCTGTCATGTTATCCCGAAAGGAGAGATCTGGACACACATGCCCTGAGGGAGGATGCGAGGCACCCCCTGCTACAAGGGGAGGAACACAGCCTGGACCTGGTCCCTGCTCTGGGCCCTTGGAAGGCACCGGCCCTGCCAACCCCCAGTCTCAGACCTCGGACCTCCAGACTGTGAGGGAATCATACCTGCAGCTGAGGCCCCAGGCGGGGGTGCTTGGCTCTAGCTGCCCAGGGACACTGGCACAGCCACACACCACTTCCTTCCCTGGCACAGAGCCCCTCCACTCCCACAGCACTTCCTCCCTGGCCATCATCGCCGGCCCTGAAGCCACCCTCAGACCCTCCATTCCAGCCCATCCCACCAATGCGGTGGCTCAGGGATGCCCAGAGTAAACCAGGCTCCAAGGCAAAGGAGGACAGCCGCTGCCACCCTGCACCAGAGGAAGCCAGCCTCTTCCCTTACTGAAGACAGGGAAAGCAGCACACCCCGGGCAAGCACCTCCTCCTCAGGTGCTGTTGCCAAGGCAACCCTGCCTCTCTGCCAGGGAGGCAGCTGGGTGGGGAGGCCACGCCCCGGGCTAGGTGTGTGGCTGACCTGTTCCCCACAGGGGCCCAGAGGAAGACCCAGGCCTGGAGGTGGGATCCGCAGGCCCCCCAACAGGCTGGTCAGCCCTCAGAAGGCTGGACTTAGGATCCCCGGGCCCTGCTTTCCAGCATTGCTCAGCAAGGGGTGGGCAGAGGCAGTAGCCAGCTCAGTGCCAGGCCCAGCCACTGACTAGGGCAGGCCACCTCCCACCCAGTTTTCACCTGAACAAGGAATGAGATACTAAGAGGAGGAGGGAGGGGAAGCCACAGCGGGGAGCCAGAGGCCTTGAGGCCCCAAGTAAGGGTCTTGTGCTGAGGCCACCCCAGCCAGGCTGTTCGCACTAGGAGCCAGCCAGAAACGCAGATCCACAGGCCCTGCCCAGCCCCCCAGGGTTGGAACCTGCCTCTTAACAGGGGCTCAAGGGCTCATTAGTCATAGAAGTAGGGGCCAGAGGCACAAGAGAGCCCTCGCACTCCCGGGTTCCTGCCTTTATCACACACTGTCCCTACCCTGAGATTCTCAGAAACCCCGAGACTCCGGAGCAAGCTGCTGGGGCACAGAGAGGGGCAGGGAGTAGCTCCAGAGAAACTTGGCTGGGAAAAGGGCCACACAGCATCAGACACAGCCTCTGCGTCAGGGGCCAGGAAGGTGGGGACGTCCCTGGCAGGAGACTGGAAGTCAGCAGACGGCTCGGGACCTGCCGCACCAGCCCTGGCTGGCCCCGGCCCTTCATCTGCAGAGGGACCTGGGCTGCTTGCTGGCCCCTACAGCCTCAGTCTCTCCATCTGTACAATGGGGAGACCGAAAAGCCCCAAAGCCATATTCCTCCCCACTGGACCACAGCTCCCACCACCACTGGACCACAGGCCCCACTATCATGGGACCAAAGCTCCCATCCTCACAGGACCACAGCCAACCCCATCACTGGACCACAGGCCCTCATCATTGGACCACAGCCCCCACCAGCACTAAACCACAGCCCCCTCCATCACTGGACCACAGCCCCCACCAGCACTAAACCACAGCCCCCTCCATCACTGGACCACAGTGCCCCCACTCACAGGACCACAGCCACCCCATTACTGGACCACAGCTCACACCATCACTGGACCATAGCCCCCCATCACCGGACCACAGCCCCCACCATCACAGGACCACGGCCCCCTCCATCACTGGACCACGGCCCCCTCCATCACTGGATTGCAGTCCATCACTGGTCACTGGATCGCGGTCCCATCACTGGACCACGGCCCCCACCATCACTGGACCACAGCCCCCCCATCACTGGACCATAGCCTTCCCCCACACTGAGAAGGGCCCTGCTGCCCAGGAGCCACAGCACCACAGGGTTGGCACGGTCCTCCCTGGGTGGGTGCCGCCTCCGCATGCTCCCAGCTGGCCTGTGTCTCGCACTGCCCCAGAGCTCCTGACTCCCCAGTTTAGAAACTGCTGCTCTCTGAGGACACCCCTGGAGAAGGACGCTGAGTGGCAAGCCCTGCCACCCTGGGCTGAGACATCAAGGAGCCAAGGACCCACCCTCCAGAGCCATTGGCACCCGACTGCTCCCAGGGGCTCCCTAAGTGGGAGGGTAGTGGCAGACAGGGGCCAGCTGAGGGGTCTTCCCAGGGCCAGCCCTGTGAGAGGTACCCCTCTGGGGGGTGAGAGAGAGGCAGGAGCTTTTGCTAGCTCGGCGGGAAAAAGGAGGAGGCTCCAGGGACCCTGCCAGAGCTCGAGCTGCCTTCAGAGGGGTCATGGCACACTGTCCCTTCCTGGACACCGCTCGGGGGCAGATGGGTGACAGGGGATGGGGTGCTGCAGGCCCAGTGGCTGTTGAGCAGTAGCAGGGCTCAAATTATCTTGAGAATGGCCCCAGGAGATGCCCCGCAGCAGGCTCAGCGTCTGTGAGCTCACTGAACCCTCAGGCTCCATGAGAGGAGGGGCACTGCTCTCCCATTTCATAAGCGGGGACACTGAGGCCTGTGGGGGCCTCAAATTGGAAGCAGGGACACGGCCATGCTGGGCGACAGAGCTGTCTGAAATGTTTCAGAGGCAAAATCACACCGCGAGCCCCAACGGGTCTAAAATGCAGAGGGTGACCAGGGCAGGGTGGTCCTGGCCAAGGGGGGCTGCAGCCTTGGACACTGAGACTTTCACATTCCACCAGTGTCCTCCTCCCACCCGACCACCTCCAACAGCAGCTGGGCCGGAGGGGAAGGGAAGAGGGGCCATCTCTCCAAGGCCAGGAGAGTTGGGGTCTGGGAGCAGCAGACCACCCCCCATCCAGCAAGGGAGACAATAGGTGCTACTCTGGAGCCAGGCACTGGGTGGACTGAGCCCCAGGGGCTAGAAGGCTGAGAGACCAGTCTGAGCACAGCCAGACACGTCTGAGCACAGGTCATTCCTAGGCTCCCATCTAGGAATGAAAGTAGGCACAGCTCAGCAGGGGCCATGCTCAGGACAGGTGGAACCTGCAGGGGTGTCCCCACCTGTGCCCAGGGCCTGTGCAGTTCCCAGGCCTGCAGCATCACCTGGGGAGGGTTTGTGTGGGGGGAGGAGGGGGGGGGCGCATCACAG